ATATAAATATACAAAAGAAACAAAAAACGTAGTGAAATGAATATATGATGATATACGACAAACTGCAGTGTGTTATATTTTAGTAGGGGGTTGTGCAGACTCATCATTTTGAGTTTCCTTCTGAATCCCCAGTGTCCGAGAATTCACAAGAACCACTAAACCAATCAGTATGCAGAGAAGAGCTCCTTTTATTAAAAGCCCAATCATAAGGGTGATAATGACAGCAGTCTCAATCAATTGAACCAGACCAGATCAATACTATTGCATTTCTTCTCATGGGTTTTTGCCTGTGATTAAATCTTTAGTGTTGAATAAAAAGCACACCGTGATTCCCAGCTGTTTTTTTGTTCCTCAGGACCCCAACGAGGACGAGGAAACCCGGCAGTACCGTTTGAAGATCGAGGAACAGAAGCGTTTGCGAGAAGAAATTCTGAAAACGAAGGAAATGAGACGACAAATGCAAGCCGGCGTCAGAAAGAAGGAGTTGCTCGACCGGATCAGTTCTCAGACTCCGACCCCACAGATTCAACCTGCACAACAAAACCAGCAAATGCCACAACCTGTACAGCAACAACAACAACAACAACAGCAACAGCAACAGCAACAAAGACAACAACCACCTCCTCAGCAGCCGCAGAGACAGTTGCCTCAGAGAGCCCCACAACCTTTAAATCAGACATTTAAGAATCCCATTCAAGTCATTCCTCCAAACGGCAATCCTCAGATTCTTACGCCACGACCTAATGTGAAAGCACGCCTTCAGATGGTGAAAGGAAACATCCAGCAGCAGCAACAACAACAACAACAACAACAACAACCCCCTCAAGTGCAAGTTCCAGATCAGCAATGGACTCAACAAAACCCCCAACAGCGGAGGAACAGTGTTCAGATCAGACCTGGAGCTCAGATACAGACGGTTCCTCAGAAGAACATCATCCCGGTAACTCCTCAAATTCAGACTCCAGGACCTCCTCAAACGGGCGCGAAAAGAACCGTAATGCAGCGGACCAAAAGCGTCGATGACCAGCAGGTGCCACAGAAAGTCAGAGTCGTCAAACTTTCCGGAGCGGTGAGCATTTCATTTTGTATCCGTCACCTTCTTTTGTGTCAGATTTCGCCCCACGAGGGAAAACGACTGATTGCCGCCACACTGTCTATTTTGTAATCTAAAAGATGTCTAACCTATGGGAATGACAGGCTGATGTGATGTGTCATTTTGGTAAAAATTGATCTGTTAAGACACAATGCTTTCACGCACATCTTGCCTTAAGATCACAGGAAAGGCTGTCGGCATTACAAGGAGTAGTATGACATTTATCTACAGAGTTAGGGACAGCTCGTCACTGCTTTTTAAAGGTTGATATCCTTCTTTAAGGGCAGCACTTTAAAAGACATACAGACAGTAACACCAACAAGTCCGGATATATCTCACACTGCCTCGATAAGTTACTGCTGTGGCCTTAATTACACATGAATCTTTATTGAAAAAGCACAAAGGCATGCATGTTTAACGCTTGTCACCGACGATGAGACGAGATGTGATAGTATTTTTGAAAATAAGCCGCTTTCCCGACTCCCATCCCAGAGGATCAGGCTGCTAAAAGAGGCAAAATCTCACTCTGGCTGCAGATGAAGATAACTGGGTGTCAGTGTGGTAATGGAAACCTGCGCACAGCTATCTGAGTGGGATGTGAAAATGTAGAGACTTGTCTTGATGCTCCCTCTTCCACATTGTTCTGCTGTCATCAGCCAGCGCTTGACAATGTTATCTCGTCTCTTCTCTCCTTCCTTTCCACATCGTCATCCCTCGGTTCCCCATCAGCCCCATCTCTCAGGTGCGAGGCAAACCCACAAAAGGATGCCAATCCAAAAAAAACCCTTGTAATTAATCTTTCTTGCTTGAACGCCGGAGACATAATACCTGCGTAAGAAAGTTGCCACTTTTGAGGATTTGGATTTGTATGGCTTAGGCGCGCAGATAAGAGGCAAATTATATTTTCATCAGGGATAATACAAAGCAGCACAAGAAGACACAAAAGCTGTGGGAATTTGGGGGGGGGGGTGGTGGGGTACACATCGAGCTGCTGTCGTCCCAGTGTAATGCAGCTTAGCATTTGATGGGTGCAATCAGGAGCTGTGATTTCTATAGGAGGGATTAATCCATTTACTCTCAACTGGGGACAGGTCAGAGATATCGCCTCCTTTCTCCCTCTCTATTGATCTGTCACATCTCTGCAGAGTCGCGGGATGAACAACAGACGACCTTCAATTCCTCCTCTTCCCCCCCGCTCTGTCAACACACTCGAAGCTGTGACTTTATTTGATAATGAGACCATCACCTTGTTGGGTGGATCTTTATTCCTCGCAGCATGTCGGATAGGGATCCAACTCTGCCACTTTTGTAGATATGGCCTTGTATTTCCCTCTTTGCCTCAACGATTGAATATGATTGTGATGCCTGCAGATTGATAGGAAGAAGCCTGGGAATTTGGTGTGTTCGAGGGGCTGAGTTAGTGTTATGAGCGGTCAGAAAAACAACCCGCATCCACATTAATGATCCATCGTAGTCCATTAAAGAGAACTGAGAAAATAGTCAACTTTTAAACATAAGATTCGAAGCCATACGGCGTATTATGGGTAGCTTGTATCATGCGTTTCACCATCTGTGTGACTATATGTCGCTATGATTCATCGATACATCCGTCAACATAGAGAAAATACAATATATAAATAAGATTAATATGCAAAATGGCTCAAACTAGTCGTTCTTCCATCTTACAGGGTGTAGGAGTTGGTGTTGGAAATCCAGTTCAGCAACAACAAGGCACCTGGACGGCATCACCTCTGACCCAAAGAAAGGTAACGATGGCGGGGCAACAAGGACCAGTAGTAGCAGCTCCAGCTGGACGAGGAGTCACCCCACAGCAGAACAGGGTATGTGAGAAACCACTGCATGCTTTCCCCTGTGCAACACTGACAATATATCTATATTAACAGTGTGGGGCTCTGAAATTAAAGATTAAAGATTTCAAGGCTTTTATTGTCATTCGTACAGAGATACAGTGAAGTTATGTCGATGAAAATCTGACAGAGAAACCGATCAAATAGTGCAAGTAAATACAATAAAATAGAATAGATAAAATAAGTCAATGAGACGCCACCCTGGCATTCAGTTATAATCATAATAAGCTTTAATTGTCTGTATCAAATAGTCACAGAAAGTTGACATCACATAGTTACCAGTAAAAGACATCAAAATAGACATAAATGAGAAAAGAACAGACTGATGATGTACGATAATATAACAGTTCATTTAAAGAAGGGTGGTGCAAATTCACATTGTGATTACAGTTTGAAATATATGCAACAGTGGGATGATATTAAGATTTTAAGATGCGTCAGAGTGCATTGAGAGAGTGTTAGCTACCTAAAAGGTGAACAGATATATTTTGAGCTTTGCTTCCATAATGTAAGATAAGATTAACTTAATTGATCCCAAATTGGTACATTATTTCCGTCACATCAGCATGTTAAAACAACACAATGCACATCATTTGAAAAAGAATAGAAAATAGACATATATACAAGGTGACGGTGAAAGATATGGGCAAATTCACATTGTGATAACCACTTGAAATATATGCAGCGATGGGATGATATTAAATAATAACACAAAATCAGTGCATTGAGAAAGTGTTAGCTACCTAAAAGGTGAACAGATATATTTTGAGCTTTCTTATGAAGACTTCCTCGCTTCCATAATGTAAGATAAGATTGACTTTATTGATCCCAAATTGTGACCTTTTCTCCGTCACAGCGACCTGTTAAAACAACACATTGCACATCATTTGAAAAAGACTAGGAAATAGAAATATATATACGAGGTGACCGTGAAAGATTTGGGCGTAATTGACGACGGCTGCCTCACGGGTAGACATACCGATGGAGCAGCAGCAGTGATAATAAGACAGGACAGTATGCCAGGTGCAGCAGTATATTGACAATTTGAGTGCAGTGTAACACGTGAGGGTAACATAAGGTCCCTCGGCCTCTTTCTACGCCTGTCACCTGTCACAGAAACCAAACTCAGTGACGCTGAGAAGCTACGGCAGTCAGCACAACTCTTGCATGGCTCGTACGCTCCCCCGCCCCCAACACACACACAACATATTCACTTTCACTTCACTCTTTTCCCCCCTCCTCCTCCTCCACCTCCTCCTCCTCTGCAGATGAAAACACATACCTCTCAAGCTCAAATGAAGATATGCCATGCATCATGTTTTGACGTCAGTGTAGAGATATGATAAGTCAATCATGTGAGAGGGGAAACACACACGCAGCGGTTTTTAAAACATTCTTTGTGCTGAGTATAGCTCGTCTCCACATGGTTGAAAGGTTATTTATATAGCACCTTTCAACACAAGGCAATTCAAAGTAATGAAAGACATTAAGATACATATATTCAAAACAACAAATACTTAAACAGATAAATAAACAAACAAATACATACATAGTACATACATAGTTCGGACATCCCTTGAGCTTCTCATTCAAACTCATTCAAACTGTTTCAAAGCTTCACCCCACAAACAGAAATACAAAAACCTCGCTTAGTTGTGCGCACCCTAACATTTGTGAATTGGAATAAGCCCCTTAAATTAGTTAAAAACACTCATTTAAAAGCAAAGATAATAACACAGGGACATGAATACAAGTTACAGCGCAGTGTGAGATGTGAATATAACTTTAAAAGCAGCGTCTAAAAGAAAAGTCTCCAGCCTTTGATTTAAAAGTAGTGAGAGTTGTAGTTTGTTTTAGATATTCGGAGCATTATAACTGAAAGCTTCTGGATCAATAACTCTTCAGTAAAGGGAACTGAGAACTTCCACACCAACACTATGCAAAATAAATACCATCATTACAAAACACTCTCTGCGATATAACATGTGCAATATTATTATTATTAATCTATAATAACGTGCAATTACGTATCTGCCACTACGTTATTTATTACATTAATTATGCGACCGTCTTTGTTTCCTGTAGATATTTAATTGCTCTTTTTACAGCGCTGTTAGTGTACAGTTTTAATAATACATTTAATTTAAGGCGCCGTTCAAGGACACCGTACAATTTCTTAAATATTCTAAGAGGTAAAAGCAACAGAACATGATAAAAACACAAACATACCATCATGGAGAGGACAATTTAAAGTGGACACAAATGATTGGGAAAAGGTATTATATTATTATGCTGCTGTGTTTATTGTATTTCTGTAACTCTGGCACTATTTCCCTCGGGATAAATAAAGTCCTATCTTATCTTATTAACCCCTATCTTTCATATTGTGATATCATTTGATAGAACGTCTTTCCTGTATGTTTCTGGTAGTTTGTTCCAGATATTTGGAGCATAATAACTGAAAAGATAAAAATGTAAAATCTTCTGTATCTCCGCCGCCGCCCGCCGCCGCCGCTTTTTCCTCCTCACCCTTCCCCCGATTTCATTAATTCTATTTTTTTTACCAAATGTGGGCGTTTTTTCTCACACTTTGCGTTGGGTGTAGGTGGTCGTTTCGGCACGGGGACGAGGGCGAGGGGTCGCTCCGATTGGTCGAGGGCGGCCAATGTCCACGAGACAAAGTCCGAAAGCAGCCGAGACTGACCGCTGCACCGTTTCCATCGAAGGCCTTTCTTCCTCTACTACTGACGCACAACTGCAGAACCTCCTCAGATCCATCGGCCCCATAGAGGTAGGAACCGGGGTTTCCGTTAGGGGTGGGGGAAATCATCCATATTGTATCGATACGCGGACGTCAAGTATTGATATTTTATTTGATATAAACTGTAGCATATCCCTCCGAAAGATGGTCGTACACTTGACTGATGATTTCTCATTTATTGAAAACTCAAGATCAGAGTACTTCTACTTTTACTCAAGTACAAGATCAGAGTACTTCTACTTTTACTCAAGTACAAGACCTGAGTACTTCTACTTTTACTCAAGTACAAGATCAGAGTAATTCTACTTTTACTCAAGTACAAGACCAGAGTACTTCTACTTTTACTCAAGAACAAGATCTGAGTACTTCTACTTTTACTCAAGTACAAGATCTGAGTACTTCTACTTTTACTCAAGTACAAGATCTGGGTACTTCTACTTTTACTCAAGTACAAGACCTGAGTACTTCTACTTTTACTCAAGTACAAGACCTGAGTACTTCTACTTTTACTCAAGTACAAGATCTGGGTACTTCTACTTTTACTCAAGTACAAGATCTGGGTACTTCTACTTTTACTCAAGTACAAGATCTGGGTACTTCTACTTTTACTCAAGTACAAGACCTGAGTACTTCTACTTTTACTCAAGTACAAGATCAGAGTAATTCTACTTTTACTCAAGTACAAGACCAGAGTACTTCTACTTTTACTCAAGAACAAGATCTGAGTACTTCTACTTTTACTCAAGTACAAGATCTGAGTACTTCTACTTTTACTCAAGTACAAGATCTGGGTACTTCTACTTTTACTCAAGTACAAGATCTGAGTACTTCTACTTTTACTCAAGTACAAGACCTGAGTACTTCTACTTTTACTCAAGTACAAGATCTGGGTACTTCTACTTTTACTCAAGTACAAGATCTGGGTACTTCTACTTTTACTCAAGTACAAGATCTGAGTACTTCTACTTTTACTCAAGTACATAGCATTACTTTAGAATACCGTTAAACAAGTGAACTTCAAATAGTTATAATACAGTATAACCTTGTGCCTCTTGCTAACGCTGAAATGTGTTCTTATTAAGAATCGCTAGAATAGTAAGTTTCAGAGGTAATTAATAAAAATAAGTAGCCTATGTTATTAAGGGAATCTCTTAAGGGTCGTATCAAGTTTTATTTCCAAGTAGGACAAAGGAAGGTGGGGTTAAGTGTGTCCCAGTGGTTGGGCCGGGACGCCGAGAGCGATGCAAACGTTATCTTTTGATATCGCCGTATTTAAATGTTGATATCTCCGTTAATATCTGTACTTAAGACCCAAGTGGGAGGCTGTGGCTCAGAGGTTAGTGTGCTGGACTTTGAATCAGGGGGTAGCAAGTTCGAGTCCCACTGCAGTCAGCATGTCGTTGTGTCCCTGAGACACTTCACCCCAAATTGATCCTGTGGGGATTGTCCACAGAACTGAATGGACACCATAGGGGCATTTTCTCTCAGTGTGATCCCATAGCGCCCTCTGTCGTTGTGATTAGGTAGAGATTGTGAATAAATGCATTTCCCGACAACACCCCACTCCCTCTTGTGGATAAGAAGGAGATCTAGTTGTGAGCAGAAGACATTTTGACTGTAGCAAAAGCACGATGATAATAGAAAATGTAATTTAGCTGCTTTTAATCGGGTTTAGACGTTGTTATTGCTATAAGAAGTGCTGGAAGGATGCTTGACTTAAGTAAAAGTACTAATACTCCACTACATGTAATAGTGCTGTATTGAGAATGGTACTTGGGTTACAGTACTTAAAATGTCCTTAAAGGATGAAATTAATCCGAATTTAAACCACATTAAACTTGATTTTATACAACACCTTTCAAAACAGTTATAAATACACCAAGAGAAAATAAAAATAGTGGAATGAACTAAATCATCATCTAAATACAGAGGAAAAAAAAAAATCACAAAAGTAATTCTAGAAATGTCAATTTTTTAAAAGCTGATTTATTTGTTTAAGCAAAAAACGGCAAATCTTCACATTTGAGAAGTTACGTGGTTATTTTCCGGCAGAATTGTCATTAAATCTTCATCACAACATCATATTTGTAAAGGTACTACAAAATGTATGTGTAGAAATATGAATCTAAAAGGCTTCAAAGCAACTTAAATGAAGTAAAAAGTACAATATTTACTTTTGATTTGTAGTAGATAAGAAGTATAAAGTAGCTTAAAAATGGAAATACTGAAGTCTAAGTACCTCATATTTGTATTTAAAGGGGACCTATCATGCAAAATGCACTTTTTGATGTCTTTTATACATAACTATGTGTCCCCGGTGTGTCGGGGAACTCACGCAGCATCAGAAAATAAAACCCTCTCTTTTCCTCCGTACCCAAATCTCTAAAAACGGAGCTGATCCAGATTTGCGTCCGATATGACGTAATATCTGAAATGTGGACCCACGGCCCTATCAGAAACGTTGCTATCAGAAACAATGCCCGACTGTTTTGGACGTAATATGGTCGGTGTTTACATTAGCATCGCTAACACTCAGAGCTAACCTGTACTGGAGAGCATGTGTGTGAAGAAGCAGGAAATAAAAAGGAACTCACCTTGTGGTATAACCGGCAAGAGAGAAAGCCTTTGAGCTCCATACTGTTTCAGAAACAATCCTTGATAATCCATGATATGGCGTTTCATCACGGCAGCATTTAGTTTAGACAGTAGCTGCCGGGTCCCGCATGAGCTCAGACCCCTCCTTTTTAAAGCTTTATACCCCAAATCAGCACTTTTGAAACAGGAAGTGAAATAGAGGGATATGAGGCATGGCTAGAATGAGTGATCTGTTTGGTATTTTGAGCAAAACACTTCATAGACATGTTTTTTATATATTTGTATATATCTGAGACCTATGCTATAGCCTAAAAATAGCATGATAGGTGACCTTTAAGTACAAAACTTGAGCTAATGTACTTTCCACCACTGATTATAAGTGACACCTGTTCTTTTCCTACTATGGTAATTCAACATATTCATATGTTTAATTTGCAGATGTTCAAAATGATGCCCCAGCAGAGGAAAGCAGTCGCCACATTTTCCAACTCCCAGCATGCCAACAATTTTCAGATGAGTTTCCACAGGTAATCAATACTCCTCCCTTTCTTCATCACATTTTCATATAAAAACAGATCAAATGATTACTGTGGTTTGTTATTGTTTACATGATGCCATTTAGTGCGGCAGATAGCTGTAACGACACTCTTTCAAAAGTGGAAACAAGCGCATTTTCAGAACAATTTTACCACAGAATTTTAACAACTCTATCCAATTTTCTGTGATTTTTGGTGTTGAATTATATGTGTTTGACTCTGGGCAAGTCACATTTACAATTCAGACACTTCTTCAGAGCTTTTTAAACACAAAATGTTCAAATGTGGGACTTATAAGAAAGGATTTGGACACTAAACCACACAATACAATTTTTCTATGTTAGCAAAATGAGTTACTGAACACCATGATGTTACTTCCTCTACTATTGCACTCCTACATCCCATAATACTTCCACAATGCATGTTTTATGGCTTAGTCGTGGTAAAAAGAAGCTTCTGATTTGGTTTCTAGGGTCAAAAATGTATGATTTGACACCAAGATCATTGATATAGTGCAAGTAAAACTGTTATTATAGCAACAAAAGACATTTCTTAGCATTTCCACCATTGAGTGGCTAACGAGCTTTTTTTAAAACCTCAAAGAACTTAATGGGCCAATTTCTGTGATTTTTGGTGTTGAATTATATGCTTTTGACACATTTACTATTCAGAAACTTCATCAGTGCTTTTTTGTGTCATTTTAAACACAAAATGTTCAAATGTGGGGCTTTTTAGAAAGCATTTTGGACACTAAATCACACAATACTTGTTTTCTATGTCAGCAAAAGTCACCACTACTTCCTATTATGACTTAGACATGGTAAAAAGAAGCTTCTGAGTAATTCCTGACGTCTATATTTGGTTTCTACGGCCAAAAATGCCACAAAAATGTTTGATTTGACACCAAGATCATTGCTATAGTGCAAGTAAAACTGTTGTTATGGCAGAAAAAAAAACATTTCTTAGCATTTCCACAATTTTTGATTGGCTAACGAGCTTTTTCAGAACCTCAAAGAAGTGTATGTGCCTTGTATCCACTTTTGAAAGATGTCCCTCGTATATTCAACTATCTGCAGCACTAAATGTGGCTTCTGTAAATTGTTTAAGCGCCACAACAATAGGCGCTTTCACACCGGAGTACTTTTCCCAGTATAGTTCCGATGTAGTTCCGAAAATGTTGCGTTCACACCAAAAAAATCCGGAACTAGAACTTCGTTCATGAGAACCTTTCCACCCCCTTTTCAGTCCCTGCTAGAGAGCATGTACTTTCACGGGAGAAAAAGGTTCCCATTTCTGATTGGCTGGGCGGATTGCAAACCACGCCCCGTAAAACTCCCAAAAAGTTTTGTGAAGCCGCCATTTTATTTGCTCGCATTAGCATTATTAGCATTAGCCCAGTGCACAAACGGAGAGAGACTAACTTATGGCAACACAAAAAAAAACATGGGAGCGGTGGAGATGAGGAGGTGTCAGCGTTCTGGCGATTTACTCTGAAGGCTTCAGTAGAAGCTGCTGGGAGTCCCAGCAGCTTCTACTGAAGCCAGTCCCCAACTCCGGGGACTTCCAGCCGGGGACTCCGGGTGGCAGTATATACCGTGAAGTTGTTTGCGGCCTGCCAGTAAACCCAAAGCAGAAGAAGAAGAAGTGACGTCAGCGGGTTCATTTGCCTAATCCTCCCTCAGGGACTTATTCCGGTGTGAACGCGATCTGTACTTAGTTCATCAGAACTAAAGAGTTCTCATGAACTAAGTTCTCATGAACTAAGTTCTCATGAACTAAGTACGGCAAAGTACTTGGTTTGAAAGCGCCTATAGTCAGTATCTTTAAAAACTCACACCTTATTATCACATTAACCACACAGGCACATGATTGATTTGTCCCACATTGATGTGTCGCTGATTGATGGATGAGGAGCGCAATAAGAGCCAATTACAAGATTCCTCTCAACGTGGAAGCATCTCATCGGACGCCGTTTATTTCTTCAGTTTCTACACAGAAGCATCATTCATTCATCTTCTTACAAACTTGGGACAGAGACTATGTGTTCCTATCGCGAGCATGCCATTGTTTGACTTGAATTGTTGTACAAATGGCACCCGAAAAAGAGACACTGGACCGTTTAATAATCCTGCTTTTGATGTGAATGTTTTGTGCATCCCACACGGACACTAAGTGGAACTTATCATGGGATAATGGTTGCTCCCCTCCTCAGTTAGACTCAGTATTAAAACTAAACACGCAGACCACTTTGAAAGTTGTTTTTTTCATTGTTTGCCGTAGTTTTGAGCAGGAAATGGCCAGACTTTTCACGTTGCAGTGCTTATTCCCGCCTGTAGGTGGCAGTATTTCATCACTAATGGTACTTAATTTCTTTTCTTTTTACATCTCAAGCTCAGATAGTTAGTCTTCAAGCAGTTTTTGGGTGAATGGCACCATCTAGTGGAGAACTTGCATACAGGCACTAAAGTGGAAGCAGTGACTTGAAAACAAATTGGTTTTGGACGTAAACTTAAAAAGGTTTCCAATGGGTTTTAGGATTTGTTAATGTTGTGCTTTCTTGTCTTTATTTTGTGGTGTTTTCTTGAGTTTAGATTGTTACGTTTATCTCGAGTTACGGTCATTTCTCCTTGTTCTGTTCTGTTATTGAATATTTTAGCTGTTACCTGGAAGTTTCCTTCAAATCCTTTTGGATGTATTTTTTTAGTTGTTAGTCAGATTATGGAGTATTTCGATTTAGTGTGCTTTGAGGGACTGGACTTTGCAACGTTGATAACTTCCAATTAATCGCACATTTGGTCACATTTTGATAAATCAGATTGAATTAGCGTACGGATTCATTTCTTTAAACCTTTGCCAGGTCATACATTAGGCCTCCTTTGTTCTGATATGACTCATTGAAATCTGCGTGACTATATTTTGATGATGTGTTGCCTTATCGCGGAGCTGCATGGTTGATCTGGAATAAAACGTTGATGGGTTTGCCTTCAGACGAAGCTGTAGAAGAAAAATAACCTGATGACTTTGCCCCGTGAATTGAATTCCTGCCCCCTTTTTTAATTGCATCCCCTAATTCCAATCATCCTTTGATCATTTTGATATTGCACTCTTACAAAAGATGCATTTCTTCATGAGAAATTGTAGGTAACACTTCTCCAATGCATTTTAATTTTCCCTCTGAACCCTTGTTTGGGAAGTAATTTCAAGCTTTTTTAATTTACCACACTTTGTCTATTTCGGCTTCTAAGTTAGTCAAACAAAAGCAGTTCTTTTAAGAAATACCACTATTTCCTTATAATATAAAGTCCAGAAGTGAAGCTCGTGTACATTTTCACAAAGAAAGCAAGAGGGGGCAACCATTATATCCGTGTAGTCATCATGTACAAAAACCAGAACTTTCTCTCAATATTTATCCTGTTGAAACCCTTTTTTTTTTTATTCTTTACTTCTGTTGTATCAAGTTTTTACATGTAAGGATATTCTGATGTGTCCAGACATAAATCATTTTACTAGTGTTTTGTTTCTAAGAAGAAGAAAAATGAAGAATGACTGGACCACATTTCTGTTTATAAGAAAAAAAGTTTAAGGGAAAATAAAAACATGGCCAATATACCGTGAACATGAAGGTATGTGAAGCCGGTTCAACTTTAGCCCAAAGACGTGTGGTTGTGTGTGATGTCCATGGTGCCTTTTTACGATCATATTTAAGCTGCATTTTATACCTTAATTACTCTGTAAGTTCCTTGGTATTCACCTTAAACATATCCACCTTGTATGGCACGAGATACTACCTCGTTTAAAGGGGGATGCCACTGAATTGGGGCGATGGATTGGTTGTTTTATAACCAAAAAGGTAAAAGAAAATCCCCCTTTCCATTGAACTGTGATGTCATGCTAATGTGCAGCTCCCTACGATCAATCATCAGGTAGCTACGTTTTATATTACTGACGTTTAAATACATCATTTGGAGGGTTAACATTACGTTTCTATTGGTTAATCAACTGTGCATCTGGATGACATCACAGATTATGGTTTTCAAGACTTCATAACCGATGCTTGACTGCATGTGTGACTCAAATTCATCAATTTAGTGGTGTGTCCCTACTTATATCCAACTTTTTAAACATCTGGATTCTTGCCAGTAAAGGTTTTCTAGGTTCCTCATCATGCATGGAGTCTGAGAACTGTTGGGTAAAATCAGAAAATGTGTCTAAACGTATTTTCTTCTTGTAAAACTGGAGGTTTTAAGTATTCTCTGCGTTGTACGGTTGTCCTCAACTGCCTATGTTTTTATTCCTTTTTGTTTTGAGTTGAGGTTTTACGTGTTCCCTAACAATGTGTATTTCATGTCTTTCATGTTGTGGGTTATATTTAAGTGTTATAGTAAATCCTGTGGGTTTAAAAGAGTACCGGCAATGCCAGTAATATATAAGTATACGAATACAAGACACATCTGACGTCTTGTAGTGACAGATCAGATTCATATTGAATCTTTTTGTACCTTGAGCTTTTAGACGTGATGTTCTATTTACTATAGTAATCTCCATGAGGAAAATGGTACTAGCCTTTTGCCGACATCACATCATGTGGTTTAATATTTGACTAAGAAAGGCTCGTATATGTGTATGGGTCTTTCTTAATGCTAAAAGTCTTCAGTTCGGCTGCTAGTATCACGATAATAGGTTAAAGCGCTAACTTCTTCTCAACAGGTCCGTTTGGGGATCCGCAGTGTTTGGAAATAATTTGTCTTTTTCCTTTTTCCTTCAGGTCACATCCAAAGAGCTGTGTGGTTGGCTTTGATACCCAAACCCTAAATCTAATGACCATACCAAAGGGGTTTGCATGCTTGAACAAATGTACAAATTTGGTTAGAAATGGGTTCAACGTTTCCCAACTTAGAGGCCGATGTTGGTTTTATTTCATGCTAATACTGCATTCAACTATTTATTGACTTAACATTTCTTTCATTGAAGTTCTTGATTGATTCCTTGTTGAAGTGTGTATGCAAAGCGCCAACATCTGACTTTGAAGTTGCGTAGTTTGTCCCTCTGATGTAATCTTTTAACTTTGAGAAACCCCGGCAGGTCATTTGAAAGCACTTGCTACTGTTTGTAAAGAGGAAACTGAATGATTTGCTGCATGTTGCGTTAGGTTTTATCATAAAATGTTCCTTTAGTATTATCCGAAACATCCAAGAATATATAGACTAGGGCTGTGCAATTAATCGTATTTTAATCTCGATTACGATTTTGGCTTTTAACGATTACGAAAACAATGTAATCGAAATAAAACGATTATTATTTTTATTAAAAAAAATGTTTTTTTTTTTTTTTTTTTTTGGTTTTTCAGTTTAATTATACTTAAAGTTCAGGGTAATCAACTGTTAAAAACATACTGTTAAAAAAAAAAATTTCAATATATGGATGTTTTCAAAGTAAATGGATAATCGTTTTTAATAATCGTGATATAAATTATTGACCAAAATAATCGTGATTATGATTGTTGCCATAATCGCACAGCCCTAATATAGACTGTCATCCAGTATTAGTGTCACCATGGTTAGAGTTAGGATTATATGTTTATAAGAGGTTGGATGTCTTGATTTTGGTACCATCAGAAAGCAAGTGTTTTCAAATGACCCATCGCTTTTCAATCTTAGTCTAAAATGTCTGAGTCTATTGATTACATGTGAGGTACTTTGAAAGCATGCTAAACCTTTGGTATGGTCCGACACGTGTGGTTGAAACGGATTGAGGTTTTAGGGCTCACAACATCACCAAAAATCTCGTATTAACACAATTATTTCTCAACAGCGCACTTGGTGAGAGGATCCATTGACCATGTCACTTTTCTTGCCTTTAATTCACTCACTAAACACTTCTTTTTCAGCCGTGCAGTGTCCGCCTCTGACGTGAAGACTCACTACGAACAGACCCTTTTCCATTTCAGCTTTTCCTCCCATCTCTGTTCTTCACACTCGCATAAATTCAATTTGATTCGTCTTTTTCCCTCGATGCTGCCGTTGTTGAATGAACTTCTGTATCAAGCAGGGGTTGGCCTACCTGGATTACCAATGTTTATTAGACCAGTGGATGGAGGTTTCCATCTTTGTGACGACAGCCGGGTTCACAGAGCAGACACAGATAACTCTAAAGCCGATTTGTGGTCATCCCAACACCGTTGTTTGGGTGAAAAAAAAGACACTACAGTTGGGTTCCACTTCCTGCACCAAATAATGACTGAAAAAAATCCAACCTTGACTCAAAACCTGATGACGATCCATCCTGTGTTGTGTGTTCACGGTTGTGATTGTGTACGACATGAAGTTAGTGTTGGAAAAACGACCAAAGCAATCATGTAAAAGTATGTGATCTTCCAAAGAGACTGAAAGTGAATAATCCCTGAAAGAGATGGAATGTGTTGAATTTTGATACTGGAGACAAATAAATGTTTTGATACGCAAATTGACGGCTTTGAGTTTGTTTTTTTACGTGTTTGTCAAGTGATTTTCTCTCCGATTAAACCCATGAAGCTCCTTTTAGACCGAGGGGTTTCTTTAACCCTCCTGTTGTCTTCGGGTCAAATCTGACCGATTTACTACTTTCATCAATCATAACTATTTAGTTTTACATTCGATTGCATTAAGGCTTTATGATATCCTTCACAGAAGACATTTGAACATAGAGAATTGCTGATCAACACTTTCATTGAGTTTTGGATGATTTAGTCAACTTTGTAACACCCATGGTGTTCCCGGTCAAACATGACCGCCATAAAGAAAAGGAATTAGTAACCATCCGGATCAGATCACACACACACACACATACACACACACATACTCTAGATGTGTTCCCCCCCTCTTATGTGCCCAATCCCCCCATGTGAATCACACCTGACACACACACAGAACAATTTGATACATTTCCCGCTCTTATGTGCCCATCCCCCCACATGGATCACCCCTGGCACACGCAATACATGTTCAGTGTCTATTCTTTGTATAGTTACTGCAGTTGTTCATGTATACCAGTAGTCTGTTACAATATGTACAGTTTGAAAAGGTGTTCAATGACATTTGGTGATGATTAATGGTTTTTGTGTTGATGTAATAGCAGTTAAAACAGGACCGGTCAAATTTGACCGCGAACCCCAAAGTAAGGGGGGAACGAAGACAACAGGAGGGTTAAATAACGCTGTACCCGCTTTGCAATCCCTCGCCACTGATTCAAAATGTGTTATATTTGCAACAAGTGCTATTAAAGGACCTTATCTAATGTCATAAAAAAGGGGAATTATCTACTTTTTTTGTAGTTTAACAGCATTTTCATACTTTTTTGCACCATGTCATATCTTTCCAACTCTCAGATCCATCCAGCAAGTCTTCATGTGTTCAAATGTTGTTTTTGATGCGTAGATGCAATTTAAAGAGATTTGAGACCTTGAGCATCAACAAGTCAATGACTGCAACAACATGGAAGCTAATGAGAACTCATCATCTAAGAGTTTTAATCACCTTCTCCGCCCGTGAGTCCTTTGTTTCTCTCTTTTAGTTCAAATCCATCCAAACTCAGATTTGCTTCATCTGTAGTACGAAAGCTGAGGGCCAGAAAACGTCTTGAAAAAAGGATCTACTTTGATGTTATATATAACAGTTTTTTCCTTCTTCTCTACACCATTTACTATCTTTCCACCTCTCAAACTACTCTGTCAAAAGTTGCACGTTCTACACGAAAGACTTATGTGTGAGATATAATTTTAAAAAGGACCAAAATGTTGATGTTTTGATGTTAAAGTACCTTGATGCAGTTCAAGAGATTTGAGCACCAACATGGACGCTAATGAGATCTCAGAAATAATTCAAATCTACGAGTTTTAATCGTCTTATTCTTTCTTGAGTTGGGGGAGGCGTGTGGTGCAGTGGGTTGTGCGTTGGTGTTGGGATCAGGGGGTCACAGGTTCAAACCCCACTGCAGTCAGCATGTCGTTGTGTCCCTGAGACACTTCACCCATTGCCCACAGTATTGAGTATGTAAGTCGCTTTGGATAAAAGCGTCTAACATGTAATGTAATGTTTCTCTTTTAGTAAAAGACGTAGGATCTATCCATTCGGACGTCTATCCTTAATCTATCTAGCCATTTGTCTGACTATTTATTGAGTGTTTTGCAACGCTTACACGTGTCTAGTTGAGTAACTCGGTGTCTGTGTTCAGTGTATTGACAGTAAGGGAGGAGGCCGTAAGTAAAGGTGTGTTGGATCCTTGGAAAATGTGTTTTTTTTCTCCCCTCCTACCTCTTGAGCTCTGCTGCTTTCTTACCTCAGAGGAGTGAATGCTGCCTTGAAAGAACCGCGGAGGGACTCTTCTTTTTGTTTTGCCAGACTGTTCATGTTTGCAAATGTCAACGTTTGTAAGAGCCGTGGTTGAGCTGCGGCAGACTTTGGGCCCCCGGAGGGATTAGAGGAGGCTCTGTTTACCTGCTCCGAGGAATGCTGCCCTGCACGGACGCTTTTGTATCTGCCAGAGACCCAAGGTCACAGAGATGTGCTCGCTTTGTCCCTCCCAGAAGTTTCCACCTCTCAGTATCAACAACACAACACAATGTGAGGGAAGGAAACGGCATTCCTGCTCATGTTGCTGCAAAAATAATTCA